AGGATATGAACCCAGATCTTTCAGAGTCTAGGGCCAGCCATCTTGCCACTACCCCAAGCTGCCTCTATAAAACTTTATTACTTTTCTTTTGTTTTAAAAGAATCCTTATATAAGCCGGAGTGACTTTAATAGGGAGGGATCTCCATTAGAATAAGTGGTTAATTAAATGCCATATACAGTGAGGTGTTAGAGTTGGGTCCTTTAGATTTGCTGGCTGGGCAATAGAACCTCCCAAGAGTGTTTACAGTGTAGAATCCTTGCATACCTTTGGTCAAGAGCTCCATGGTTGAGATGTAAATTATTAAAGTCACAGAATCATGGGACTCTACCACTAAATTTTTCTTCTTATGCCTTATTGTGGTATAGAAGTGGCCCTACAGAGAGCTAGATGGCTCAATGGATTGAGCGCTGGACCTGGAGTCAGGAAGACCTGAGTTCAAATCTGATCTCAGATACTCACTTAGCTGTGTGACCCTGGGCAAGTCACTTGATCTGTTTGCCTTAATCCAATGGAAGGAAATGGCAAACCACTCCAGTACCTTTGCCAAGAAAACCCCATATGGGGTCATAAAGAGTCAGACACAACTGAACAACAACAATGAAGAAGTGACCCTGAGTCCCTTGAAGTTATGCCCCATAGCCCTATGAAGCTATAACCTCTGGTAGGTCTTATCAAGGTGGACGGCACAGGCCTGTCAATGGACTCTATCCATCATCTGAAGACCAGCGTAGTTTTACGCAGAGGCTCATTAGTGGTAGGTTGGCCATTGGAGGATGATGTTGGGAGGGACCCTCATAAATGTTATCAGCAAAGGTATAGATGGGTTACAGTCTAGAATAGGCAGAGAAATCATCCATACCATTGAAACTAAGGATGCTAAACACATTGAAGATAGTAATCCTGTAACTGGGGAGCTTCCTTAAATACTTCCTTCCATTCAATTCGAGACTGAGCTTCACTTTTCATGGAGGCAGTGTGCCATGGTATGTCACTGCTAGTAGACAGTGATGCTCAGTAGTCATCTGTCCACACATTTATCTTTCCTCAGCCTATTTATAGATCAAGAGCACCAGCATGAGGACAGCACGATATGCAGGAGGAAACTATAGATCCCCCATTGTGTAACGATCACAAACCAAGATATCTTGGGGCCAGTAATGGACTAGGTCCCAGATTATCACTGACCTCATCAGATAACCTTCAGAAAACACAGGGTCGGCTCAGATTCTTAAGATATGGCACCTTTGCATTAGCGATATAGATGCTTAGATTCCTTAAGAGTTGGGCCAATATGGCGGATTCTTTAAATCTCACCCACCCCTGATCCATGTTCTAATAAACCTTGTCTTTGGCTGAAAGAAGGCTTGGGTCAAATTCATTCAGGCGGGACCTATGTGTCATGAGTTTGGGGTCCCAGCACCCCTAAACCTCTAAACCTCAACAGAGTATCACTATAACTCTGCCATATTTACCTCCAAATAACCATGAAATAGCACCCCAAAACAAATCCTGGAACAATACAACCAGCAAAACAAAACAAAAAAAATAAAGAAAGCACAGGGTCATTGTATAAGACACTGCATACAGAAAATTTAATAGCCTCTGACTTCTTTGGAGTTTAAACCTAAGACATTCATGTACTTACTACCATCTTGAACCAAATTGGAAAAAAGCAAATGGAGAAATGTGTTTGATTGCATTTGACCCAAATCCTCAGGGCAGGGAGTTTAGAGAATTTTTCTGATCCTTACATGATGTCCTCCTTTTTTCCCTCTTCTGTCTTCTTCCTCCATTGCCTCACCAAGGACCAATCACTATCCATATATGTGGGTCATACAGATAACAGAACAAGAATTTTATACCAAAAACACATAGAAGTATTTATGACTTACACACAAGACCAAGGTATATTTTAAGAGATCCTTGCTTTGTAAGGGCAGAGGAACTTTCATCAGGGGAATGATTAAACTGGTGCTGAAAGTTACAGAACTGGGAAAAAATCTTATGTGTATGAAAAAAATTAATAGCCTTACACTAAAAAGTAATACTTTAAACATGTGAAGATGTGATCCTTTGTGATGTCACTTGTGTAGAAATATATATATATATTATATATATATATATAAAATGCATGTATATATGCACACATATCTTTTGAAGTGTTAAAAGGAAAATAGTATTTTATAGTTCTTGACATATCACTTTTTTGTAAGGGTTCAATATATTCCTGTTTATTTTTCTATGTCCTGTTTTGTCACCTTAAGAAGTGTTTCAAAAGTATCTGAATATATAAAATAATAGTAAATATACTACATGGTACGTTGTTGCATGGTACATAAGACTGTGTATATATTAAATTTTGTTTGTCTCAAAAAAAAAAGGGGTATTTCGCAGGGGGTCAGAAAATCTGCATTATAGTCCTGGCTCTGCCAGGAAAATAATCATGGGATCTTGGAGAATCCTAACTTCCATTTATATAATAATATAAGGATTTACAAAATGCTTTCATCAAAGCTATCCTGTGAGGTAGGTGATGTCAATATCATCGCCATCTTACAGATGAGGAAACTGAGACTCCAAAGGGTTAATGCCCTGTTCAATGTTTTACTTTCCTATCTATAAATTGAAGGTACTTGACCAGATGTTAGTATAGGTTTCTTCTAGATCTAACATTTAAAATAAGTATCCCCTTATTCTCTTAGCCTCAACCTCATTGGCACCAGTTTCTGAGTTCCAAGTTCCATCTGGTCCTCACAGGAAGAAAAGGACGGTATTGGCCAAATCTCTAGACTTCTCATCCCTAGATGGGAATGTTGGAGCCTTTGGCCTTTTGTCCTTTCTCCTTCCTTCCTAACCACAGGGAGCTCCTCCTGGGAAGCCAGGCCACTAGAGAAAAGACTAAAAAGTTCCTTATTTAGTCTTGCCTCTGAACTGGATTAGGGTGGAGATTGAGAGAGAGGGGGCAGGCCAGGAGAACCTATATTTAGGCAAAAATCTCCAACCTGAAGATTCAGGGGAGGGAGGGTGGAGGAGAAGTTAGTCAAGGGCCCTTTAAGGAAAGGCAGCTGCTACTTGTGCCAAAAATTTAAAAAAAAAACTAGGGAGCCAAGGGTACAGACTGCTTCAAGGGAGGGTGAGAGGAGGAGAGGGGCACTCAGCAAGGGCATATTTGGAGAAACAGCCAGATTCAATGTGCCCAGTTCCTTTGGATGTATGGTGGAGTTAAATTAGGTTTGAGTCTAAAGTTAAATTAAATTAACATTAACATTAAATTAGATTAGAGCCTAAAGAAATTGGCTGAGTCTGAATTCACATGGAGCAGCTGATAGAGAAAGGGCCAGATCTTAGTGAGGTCATCTCATCTAGAGAAGATGGAACTGATGGGCCCAGGGGATGTTTCTGCTGTTCTAAAAGAAAGAAAGAGAAAGAGGTGATGCCAACAAACTCCTACTTGATCCCATTCTCAAAGCTTTGATAATTGGGAAGTTATTCCAATTCAATTTAAGCATTTATTAAGCACTTACTGTATACAAAGAAATGTTGGAGATACAAAGCTGGACAAATGCTGTTCTCAAGTAGCATACAGTCTCACAGTAGTTAACTAACCTGAGTTCTTCCTATGGTGGTGTATTGAGTGCTTAGAATGGAAGCTGCTTTTCTTTAGAGAGCCTGACTTACCAAGCACTGAATAAACATGAAGAGCCCTTCCTGCCATGCCCTGCCCCCACAATGTGTTTACAGGCTGATGCCCATTTTTTATCTCTGGATCCACTGACCTTACTCCTTCTGGCTGTGTTTGAGAAGTGAGGGGACTCTGGCCCCTTTTCTTTCACTCAGGAGCCAGTGACTAAGAGAGCTAGGCATACCCAGGTCTCAGCAGTGAGAAGGAAAGAGACTGTGGGAGAAAGGCAGAGCTGTGCCTGTTATTCCATGTGGCCTTTTCCTAGTCCTTTTCCTTGGAGGAGAGGACTTGGGAGATGGATTCTCCTAAGCTAGAAAAGCTCCAGGACTGACTCCATCTGTCTAGAACTCCACTGGGGAGTAGAACATTCCTAGGGCCAAACCGTCTATTGTTTACCTGCTAGATCATCCCAGATTCCTTTACTTTTCGGTTCCAAGAGGTACATAAATCCTCAGGGCATCATGCCTATAAAAATGCTTGGATAGAAAAAAATAAAAAATTAGAAAAGGGGGGCTGCTAGGTGGCATAGTGGATAGAACTCTGGCCTTGGAGTCAGGAGGACCCAAGTTCAAATCCATCCTCAGACACTTGACACTGACTAGCTGTGTGACCCTAGGCAAGTTACTTAATCTAGATTGCCTCACCAAAAAGCAAAAAAAAAAATATGCTTGGACAGGAAGTGGTTAATACATACTTTATCTGGAGATCTTTAGCAGTCATCCGTTTACATGCAATGGTTAGCTTTCCTTACCATGATTCTCTGCTCCCTACCCTCCTTTGCCTTTTTCCTATTCTCCCACTTGTGGGAAAAGCTCTGGCCTAGGAGGCAAGTTATTTTCTCTTTGCAGGCCTCATTTCCCCCACTGTAAACTGAAGAGGCTGGTCCCTTTCACCACTGAATTTCTGTGATTCTAAGACTATAACTTACCCTAGAACTGGAACTAATGATTTTTGTACCTAGAGCATGGAACATTGGACCAAGGGCGATTGGTGCTAAATGTTTCCCAGAGTGACTTTTTTAAAGCAAGACACTTGGAAACCATTTCTGGAGAAGCCATCATGCTAGAGGGAAGGGGTGGTAGAACTGAAATGAGGTGGAATTTACTTGGAGTACCTCAGAAAGTGAGGTAGAAATCTGGCAATGTGATAGCTTCCTATTTTGACTCTATTTTTGCTAAGCTGTTATTTTTTTTTTTTACATTGCTGAAGGATTGCAAGACCTTTTAATGACTTCTAAATTTGGTGCCCTGGGCCAAAGCCCCAGTTGCCTTGCCCTGGTTACCGCTCTCATGCATTCTTTTATTTCTTCCTCCTCAGTGGTTTGCAAGAAGAACCTGGATAGTACCACCGTGGCTGTCCATGGTGAAGAGATTTACTGCAAGTCCTGCTATGGCAAGAAGTATGGTCCAAAGGGCTATGGCTATGGGCAGGGAGCTGGAACGCTGAGCACTGACAAGGGGGAGTCGTTGGGCATCAAGCCTGAGGAGTAAGTATGGAATTCCATCTTTTTCACAAGTACAGGATGAGGAAGGTGTGGTTAGTTGTTTGTATGAAAACAATCAAGAGGTCTTAGTGGACCATAAGCTCAGTATGAATCATGGCAACTAAACAAAAGCTAATACTTTCCTACATTGTGTTTAGAGAGCCACTGGGACCAGTACTGAAGAGATGATGGTTCCACCAACCTCATGACCCTGGTTAGATCACACATGGAATCTGGTCCTTAATTTGGGACATTACATTTTAGGAAGGGTGCTGATGAGCTGGAGAGCATCCAGAGAAAGGCTACTAGAATGGTGAAGGACCTCAAGCCTCTACCCTATGAGGATAAGCTAAAGGAGCTGGGGATGTTGACTTTGGAGAAGAGGAGACTTAGGAAAGACATGATAAACATCTTCAAAGTATATGAAGGGCTATTACGTGGAAGAATTAGATTTATCTGCTTGGTCCTGGAGGCTCTCCTCCAAGGAAAGGCCACATGGAGTAAAAGAAGTAGAAGTAATGGGTACAAGTTGCAGAGAAATTTCTGCACAAGACAAGGAAAACCTTTCTAACAAGAAGAACAATCTCAAAGTGGAATGGGTTTACTCTGGAGGGAGGGAGGGAGTTCCCCATCACTGGACATGATCAGGCAGTGGCAGGATGTCTGCTCATTGGAGATGTTGTGGTGGGGGAAGAGTGGAAGGCAGTTCCTGCTCCAGTATAGAGATTAACTTACTAACAGCTCAACTTAATAACATCTAACATTAAGATAGCCCTCTGTGGTTTGGAAAGTGCTTGACGTATATTGTCCTATTAGATCCTCACAACAGCTCTGTAAAGTAGGGGGTATTATTCCCCACCATTTTAAAGATGGAGAAACTGAGTCTGAGAGAGACCTGTCCAAAGTTATAAAGCTAGTGTCTTCTTTCACAACATGAACAATATGAAAATATGTTTTGCATGATTGCGTATGTGTGACTATATCAAGTTGTTTGCCTTTTCAGGGAAGGGGGAGGGAAGGAAGGGAGAAAGATAATTTGGAACTCAATATTTTTAAAAAAGAATGTTAAAAAAAAGTTTTTTTTCCTTTGGAGGCAATTGGGGTTAAGTGACTTGCCCAGGGTCACACAGCTAGTCTGAGACTGGATTTGAACTTGGGTCCTCCTGACTCCAGGGCCAGTGCTCTAACCACTGTGCTACCCAGCTGTCCCTAAAAAATTGTTTTTACATGTAATGGGAAAAGATGTTATTTAACACCAAAACCAAGTCACATAGCCAGTAAGTATCTGAGGCAGTTTTTGAACTCAAGTCTTTCTGACTCCAAGTCTAGTGCTATATCCGCTATGAGACCTAGCTACCTTCAAGATTCTGTGAAAGCCAGCTAGATGCAAGGCATGGCCATAACTTGTATCAGGACTGTATTTCTGAACCTCCTCATGGAACTTTGGTTAGTAGTGTAGAATCATGGAACTGCAGAATGTCAGAGATGGAAAGGGCTCTAGGGATCCGCTATGGTCTAATCCTCTCATTTTACAGGTCAGGAAACTGAGGCCTAGTGCACTGAAAGAGTTAATGCTTGGTCTTAAGAATCCTGGTCTCCTGACTCCAGGTCTGGTGATTTTTCTAGTATACTGTTCTGGCATAGTGGAAAAATTCCTAGTCTCTGGTCTACACCCCAACTCCAGACATTGAGGGCATTTTGGAAAGCATTCAGTGAAAATTGGAAGGCTTGGAGAAAATCCTTGCCCACTTTTTTTTTTAAAGCTTCCATTACTTTACTCTCTTATCATGGATTCAACAGCCATGCTTCCAGCAGGGACATCCATTCCTTTGGCCAGGCACTGACCAAAGTAACTTCCCCTTCCCAGGTGGTTACAGCAGGGCTAGCGTTAAGGACATATGGCGACCTCTGACCTGCTGCTTATTGATTGGTGCCTGCCCCTAACCAGTTCTGGCTGACTTCCTAGTTCCAATGGCATGGCTGTTAAGCCACAAATGCAGCTGCCCAGTTTTCTACTAAGGTCACTGTCTTATGGGGAGCGATTTGCATTTAGGTGTCTCATGACACAGGGGTTAGAACAGAAGCATTGTGGGGGAGAAGGATGGTGCAGGGCAGTGGATTGTTTTGCAAATAAGAGGTGAAAATGATGCTGACATTTTGAATCTAGGTGAATGGAGAGGCAATATGTTGCAGCGGAAAGAGTACTGTCCTAAGAGTCCAGAAAACTGTGTGCTCGTCCCAACTCTGCCACTAACTAGCTATGTGACCTTGACTAGGATAGTTGACCTCTCAGCACTTTAGCTTCCACTTCCGTTAAATGGGAGCATTGGTTTAGATGATTATATGAGTCTTTCTTCTTTATTTATAAATTCAATTTTATTTTTGAGTTTGCATTCTCTCCTACCATGCCCTCCACACCATGGAGAAAGCAAGAAAAACAAAGCCCATTATAAACACGCATAGTCAAACAAAACAAATTCCCACATCGTCCATGTCAAAAACAAACAAACAAAAAACAACCTCGAATCTGCCCTCCAAGTCTATCACTTCTCCCTCTGGAGGTGGGTACAAGCTTCATCATGAGTCCTCTGAAATTGTGGTTTGTCATTGTGTTTATCAGAGTTATTAAGTCTTTCACAGTTGTCTGTCTTTAGAATATGCTGTTACTGTGTAAATTGTTCTCCTGGTTCTGCTCACTTCACTTTGTATCAGTTCATACAAGTCTTCCCAGGTTTCTCTGAAACCCTCTATGGGCCTTTCTAGCTCTAACTCTGTGGTTCAAAGGCAGAGAGAATGTTCCCATTCCTGGACTCAGGAAAGAGAAGGGAAGAAATGTTTGTCTAATAATACACCTTTCCAGGTGACTCCTTAGCCAAAGTCACATGGGTATTCACATCAGCTTCAGCACTCAACTAGGCACCTAGTGACCTGGCCTAACTCATTTGTTCAGTGTCAGTTTCTTCATGCGAGAATGGGGTTAATAATAATTCACCTGAAAAAAAACAAAAAAAAATAATAATTCACCTGTTTAACAAGGTGATTGTAAGTGCTTTATTTAAAATGTCATATAAATGTGAAATTATTGTTCTCATCCTTGCCTCCTCCAGGACCCCTGGTCACAGGCCCACCACCAACCCTAATGCGTCCAAGTTCGCCCAGAAGATAGGGGGGTCCGAAAGTTGCCCCCGGTGTGGACAGGCAGTCTATGCTGCGGAAAAAGTGATTGGAGCTGGGAAGGTAAGCTGCCATCCTGGCATGACCAGGCAACATGTGTGTGTGTGTGTGGGGGAGTGGTAAAGAGAAGATATGCTTTTGGAATAACTTCCAAATGAGGTTGTTTAGCCAGATGTCATGCCTCCCTTCCAGAACTGGGCTCCACAACCTCCTTAGGACAGCTCTGAACTCCTTATAGTTCAGGTTTAATGCTCTGCCTGCTGGACCTCTTGTAACATTGTTTTCCAAGAAGCTCGAAACACTCATATCTATATGTTATTATTATTATTATTAGATTTATTTTTAATTTTAGATTTAATCTAATATTATTTAATATTAATTAATCTGATATTCAGGTATCTATCAACATAAAAATATTCAGATAATAATTAGATTTAATATTAGATATTATTATTATTAGATTATTATTATTATTAGATAGGCTTTTAAAAAATGTCTGCACATTGTCTATAGTTGCATAGACTTAAGCTTTCTCAGAGCACATAGATGAAAACACACTGATGGAAAATCCTAGAGGAAGGAGAGGGGACCATAGAAATCACCTAATTCAACACCCTGAGGCTCAGAGAAGTCATCCCAGCTCTGGCCTTACTCTACCCATGTGACCTTAGACTAATCACTTAAAGGCCTTGGGCTTCCCATTCCTAGTCTGGAAAATCAGAGCACTGGAAAAGATGGTGCCATGGTGCCAAGGTCTCCTCAGGCTCAATATATAATCTATAACCCTGTGAAGGTGACATGCCCAGGATCACATACAAGCAAGGTCTGAAGTAGACCTAGATGTCCGAGCTACTTTCCTTACCATCACTCTACATCATGAATACAGACAAAAGGCAGTTGATATAAATGTCAACTCATGTAGTTATTATCTTCAGGGTTTGAGTTAAGGCTGAATTAGTAATGGGGCTAGCGTTCACCAAAGAACATTTATTAAGTGCCTGCTGTGTGCCAGGAACTATATTAGGCACTCTCGTTACAAAGATAAAATGAAACAGTCTCTACCCTTGGCTGGGGGCAATGGTGGTAGTGGTGGTGGTGAGGGGGTGGGAAGCAAAGGGAACAGACCTTTATTAAGTGCCCACTATGTGCCAGGCACTGTATTTAGAACTTCACAAATATTATCTCATTTGATCCTCACCACAACCTGAGAGGTAGATGCTATTATGATTCTCACTTTATAGTTGAGGAAACTGAGGCAGACAGAGGATAAGTGATTAGTTTGTGGTCACACAGCTAATATGTATCTGAAATCAGGCTCTCCTGACTCCATGCCCAGAGCTTTTTCCACTGTACTACCTAATTGCCTCAAGAAGCTTACATTTCTATTGGAGGAGAAAACATGTATGTAAACAATTATATACAAAATAAGTCAGATAGTCACTTAATAAACATTTATTAATCACCTACTATGTGCTAGGCACTGTGTTAAGCACTGGGGATACAAAAAGAGACAAAAGACAGTTTCTGCTCTCAAGGAGCTCATAATCCAATGGGAGAGACAATAAGCAAACACATATGTACAAACTAACTACACACAGGATAAATAGGAAATAATTAAGAGAGGGAAGATGCTAGAATTAAGATAGGATTGGGAAAGGTTTCCTGTAGATGATGGGAAAGCAAGGTAATGGAAGAAGCGACTAGGAGCTGGGAGGATCCTTGTGGAAGGTTGTGTTTCTTGTTTAGCGAGAATGAGAAAAGTCATTACCTCTTTTTTTTGAGCTAGTGAGGGTAATCTGGAGAAGCAGGGCATTGTTAGGGACTGTAGAAATGGGGAGAACTTGGTTGAATGGACAGAAAGAAGGGGCCAAGGGATGGTGGTAATCCAGGATTAGACCCATTGGTAGCCTGGGAGATATGAGATGGGAGGTTCTGCTTTTGCTAAGTAACCTGAGGAGGTGAGAACAGAACTGGGGACTCCCTGATCTTAGCTCCATAAGTGGCCACATTGCTACTCACCCAAGGTCATCTGGGGAAGAGCAAACTTGGTGGGCTCAGATATCCAGGAAACCAGAGATTGATTAGTTCCCCTTACTTTTTCTGGAGTTGCAGCCAGCTCACTGTAGCTGAGGTGAGCAGCTCCCATCCTAACCCCATCCCCACCCCCATTTTCGTCACTGTTTTCCCTTTTTCCCCAAACCCAGCAGCCTCTTTGCCCTGGAAAGGTACCATTCTGTCCCATCTGGACTGCCTTGTTTTGGTTTCCTCTTTATCGGTAGGAGCTGTCCGCGTATCAGCAATTCAGCCCATTAAATGATTACTGATGAGAACCAGCTGCTGAGAACTTGGCTATTTTGGGGTGGTGCCAAGCCAAATTTCGCAAACCTCAGTCTTGCTTTTTTTTCCATAAAGGGGCTTATAGCCATCCATGTTCACTTGCTATAAAGTCTGGATGAGAAACACTGATGACACCTGATGGTCCCATGGTGGTCCCACATTCCTAGGAAAACATTGGACCACATTCTTTTCCTCTTATTCCTAAAAGCACTTTGAACAGTCTTTTTTTTTAATAATTATTTTTAGTTTTAGTTTTCAGCATTCACTTCCATAAGATTTTGAGTTCCAAATTTTCTCCCCATCTCTTCTCTCCCCCCACCCCAAGATGGCATGTAAATTTATATAGGCTTAACATATACAGTCATATTAAACCTATTTTCACATTAGTCATGTTGTAAAGAAGAATTAGAACCAATGAGAGAAACCAGGAGAAAGAAGAAAAACAAAAGAGAGAGAGAGAGCAAACAATGTGCTTCTGAACAGTCTTCTTTAGTACAATCTTCTTTCTTGAAGTGATGACCTTTGGGTGAATGAGGAAGCTGGAGGAAACTTGCCTTAAAATTCCCAGGGCCTGATTAATTCAGGGGGATCTCAAATACACAACTTTGATGGGGCTAGTCTGGACTATTCAGGTTTGGGAAGGATATAGAAATCCTGCCTGAGCATCAGGGTTGGAGACGTGGGTTTATTCTGAGGCTGGGACTTCCAGACCATACTGACTTCACTGAGATGAATTTAATGAACTTGGTAAAGAATTTAGGTGGGCTGTGCAGAGAAATAACTGGAGTCTGAATGCAGATGGAAGCATGCTATTTTCACTTTCTTTATTTTGGTGTGTTTTTTCCCTTTGTTCTGTTTCTTCTTTCACAACATGGCTAATATGGAAATATATTTTATGTCATTGCACATATATAACCTATATCAAATTGCTTACTATCTTAGGGAGGGAGAAAATATGGAACTCAAAATTTTATATAAAAATGAATGTTAAAATTATCCTTACATGTAATTGGATGTCTCCCATACACATTCACCATCTCTCTCTAGCCTCTCTCCCTCTCTCTCTCCCTCTCTCTGTCTCTCCCCACCTCTTCCTCTCTCTCTGTCTCTGTGTGTGTCTCTCCCTCTATCTCTGTCTCCCTCTCCCTTCCCCACTCCTCCTCCAACATGCAATATGAAGCACACCTTTATAAGTTCACTGGCAGTGTTGACTTCATTAGTGTCTTAAAGTTCACTCCACATAGTTACCCCTGGGGCCTGGGATGGGAGGATTCACAAAGAATTGCTCACACGCCCTTTTTCTTCTCTTCCCTTCCCTTCCCAGTCCTGGCACAAGGGCTGCTTCCGGTGTGCCAAGTGCGGCAAAGGCCTGGAGTCCACTACCTTGGCAGACAAGGATGGAGAAATTTACTGCAAAGGTGAGAAGGCAGGTGATGGTGGGGTTTCTGGATATGACTTTAGAGCCATCCATATGATAGATTAAGCCAATATTCCATGACTGAAACATCGAATCTGAGGGCAGAAAAGTGTTTCAGAGATCACCTAGTTTTATCTTCCATAAATTAAGACTTTGGGTCATGGAATATATTTGACTGAATCTATAAATTCTACTCCAGGAAGTTTAAGTGTATAGAATGCCCTTGAATAAATAGAGGGTAGAAGGGCAGCTAGGTGGCTCAGTAAAGAGAGCACTGGCCCTGAAGTCAGGAGAACCTGAGTTTAACTCTGGCCTCAGACCAAACACTTGACACTTACTAGCTATGAAACCCTGGGCAAGTCACTTAACCCCAATTGCCTAAAAAAAAAAAAATGAATAAATAAATAAAAAATAAATAGGAGGTCAGGGGAACTTTGGAGCAAAATAAAGAAATTTAAGGCCAATTTTCATAACAAAAACTTAATACATGAATGTATGAAAAAGCTTTTATTAAGTACTTCCTCTGTGCCAGACACAGGGTTAGGTGCTGGAGATACCAAAAATGAGACAGTCTCTGCCCTTGAGGAGTTCAGTTCTACTGGGGGAAACAACACATATAGGGTAGTAGTGCCCAGGGAAGAGAGACTTGGTCTGGGGAATCACAAAGATGGTGATTTGATCCACAGTGCAGTGAATTAACACGCTCTTCCCAAAAGCAAAAGTCTGATTTGGTGACTATATCTAGAGTAATAAGTAGAATTGGGGTGGGTTTGGGGTTAGAGGACAGTATGAGCATGGTTTTAGGGCAGATGGCCTGGGTACACAATTGGATGGAATGGGATGCATAGTGTGGTATGGGATTGACGATATATAACTGGCCAACTAAGCAAGTCTGTACTTACTCAAGGCAGCTCAGCCTGGGAGGGGGGGGAGTGGTGGAGTAGATTCACTTCCCCAGGGACTAGGAGAACATATTTTGGGGGTCTAGTCTAGTGCATAAAGTGTAGGTCTGGGTGGGGAGAAGTGGGACAGCTACAGTGTCAGGGTAGTTGACAAGAAAATTTAATATTTAACATTTTAGAGAACTTCTTGCTGGCATCTACATTTTCCTGAGCCCAGCATAGAGTACGTATTTAATAAATGGAGATTGATTGGTTGACAGTGAATTAAGTATTGGACTTGAAGACAAAGAATTGAATTCCATTCTTGTGATGTATGACCTTAGAAAGCCATTTGGTCTCTCCCATTTAGCCTCAGTTTTCCCATCTGTAAAATGGAGATAATAATAGCACCGACCTCACAGGGATGAGATAACACACGTTAAAGCGCTATGTAAAAGAGAGTTTGGTATTATCACAAAGGGCACTTTCAAACACGGTTTGGAAAAAACCAAACCTAATCCAATCATCCGTACACATGAGGAAGGTGAGACAGAAAGAGAAGATGATTTTCCCAGAGTCACCCAGCTAGACAGTAGGAGAGTTGGGACGGGAGCCTCATAGGATACAATGGACTGCAGGGGCAGAAAGGATGGTAATCTTGGTCCCTAAGCCTGCCCTCTTCATGCTACAACCTGTCTGGCCTTTGTGGCAAATGGAAATCTAATCATTTGTTTCCTTTGCAGGGTGTTATGCCAAAAACTTCGGGCCCAAAGGATTCGGCTTTGGCCAAGGAGCTGGGGCCTTGGTCCATTCTGAGTGAAGCGGCCGACAGTGTTCCCACGTCCCTTGCTCACCTCTGGTGCCTCACCAATGCCAGCCCCAGCCCTTGTCTATGTAGACCAGACTAGATATGGGAGCTACACGCTTTTTTTCTATCTCTTTCTTTTCCACCTCTCTCTCTTGCTCTCTTCTGCCACTTCTAACCAGCCTCCGTAACCACAGGTTTTGGCTTTGTGTTGGGTGGGTTTCTGCCTGGGACACTGTGCTCCTAGGGCCCACCTTCTCACCCACCCTACCCAGCTGACACAATTTCCAGTGTGAACATTCTAAAGGGCTACTAGTATTAACGCTTTTACAAGGAGTGATCTTACACACTCTCCAGAATTTTTGCCTTTCAGCTCCTCACTCTACCCTGCTGACTAAGTACATTGGCCGAGGGACCAGAAGCATTTTATGGGTCCCAGAAAGCTGTGCCATCCAGGAGAGAGTGTGGGAAGGGAAGACAAAGGGAAGGAAGGGGACACAAAATAGATATGAAAAGTCTTCCTCAGGTTTGGCATGTGTACGTAGGGGGAGAGGGGTAAGGAGAAGGGCATAACATTTCAGAAAGCCACTTGGGTTAGTTCCACTCCCAGAGGCCTTCAGACAAGGGGATGGTGGAAGCTTCCACAGGACAGAACCTTGCAGTGAGTCGTTCCCACCAAGTGCTGGAACGGGTAGCACTCCTGCTCATGTGGGCACACTTTAACACTGTTTGACTACGCAATTGAAACAGAATGTTTGGCCTTGGGGACCAACACTGAGTTGACTGGCCAGTGCCGTTTGCCTGAGGCCTAGTGTTCTTGCCCACAGTCTATACCGTGCCCAGGTTGCTCCTGTCACAGATGCAGGGAACAGCCCTTGCCAGCCACAGGCCTAGAGCATCAGGATCAGGTCCAGATCACCCCTCCTCCGACTTGAGCTCCCTCAAAGACAGGGTTGGTTTTGGAATCCCCCAGGGGTCTGTGTCACTGCTTTGATGGCTAAGGAGTTCTGGATCAAACTAGACTCCTGAACATTGATTGGCCACCCAAACCTCGGGGAACTCAAAACCAACTCTTCTCCTGGGGAATCTTGAGGCTGTAGGTTTTGCCGGTCAGCCCAGAGACCCTAATCCTTCCCCGACTTCTCCCAAGGGGTGCTTCAATCTAGTCTCCACTCTGTAGGACTTCTCCACATTTGTAAGGGGAAGATTTTCAGGTAGCTTAGAGATTCTAAACTACTATTAGGTATCTTCCTTCCCACCCCACCCCACCTCCAAATCATCCTTCATTGATCTCTTTCCAGGCTTTCCCTATTGGAAACATATTTCCCCTACCACCACTACTCTTTCCTTCCTTCCCTCCATCCCTCCATCCCTCCTCTCTCTGGGTCTCTTCCTTGCCCAAACCATCCCTATCATTGCTAGACCCTGAGGAAAGGAGCAGAAGGAGCAGTTCTTGGGAAGGTATGAGGCTGGGCCATGGCCAGAAGAACAGGAGGTCTTGGAAGGATCCCAATGACTATGAGAGAATCATCTGATGGGCCAGGGCAAATTTATTCTGAGGGATACATCTACAATACCTGTCATTGGGAAGGGCAAAGTATTTAAGCTAATTTCTTATGTAATGAATAAAGCTGTTAAAAAAAGAATCCTGGTATCCAGAGTCCTGAGAAGATGGCAACACTGTCAATCCCCTAGGAACTGAAAGAAACTTGGATGGGGTCATAAAAAGGTACCTAAGGGGCCAAGAAGAGTATTAAGCTTTGCCTACTCAACTTTTTGTTTTCATCCCTTTGCTGACTCCTTTGTGTTAGGAGTTCTGGAAAGCACCAAGTTAAAGCTGGCTGAGCATGATGATAAGGGAAACAATGCCATATGAGAGCTATGAAGGAAATGGGGATGTTTGCATGGGTGCACAATGTGATAGCTGTCTTCAAGGGTTATTGTGCGTCAATCTTATTCAGGTCACCAGATGACCCCTGTCACCCCTTACAGCTCAGTCCACAGCTCTTGGGCCCTCCATTCAAAACCTAATCACCACCTGGAGTGACCCATCTGGAGACCCCAGACTTGGGGATAACCAGCTGGGTACTGCTGATGTTTTGACATTTGAGCTGTGATCTCAGCTATGAGGTTGGCCTGCCAGACCCATAGGCTAATTCCAGAAACTTCTGACCTGGGAAGTCCCGTAAGTGAGAGGAAAGCCCAACCAAAATCATCACCAAGTCAAAACTAGAAAGCATACTTCCATAGGGGGCAGGGAGGGGTGATGGGGTTTGGGGAGGGATAGGCTGGGGACCTGAGTACTCTGACATGCAAGAATTTCAGTTCTTAATTTTTGTAAAATGTTGATCATAGGGAGCCAGGAGGCTCTAAAGGCCAGATAAGCCCCTGTATGGTCTTACCTGAGGCTTTCTTTCCTCCTCTGTCACACAGGCCTATGTCCCCCCAACTCCCTCCACTGTCGATGCCTACTCTATTAGCTTGGCCTCCAGCACACTCTGAATCCCTCAGATTCTCTGACACATGGTCAAGAGAAGCTCTTGACCTTCCCCTTATTTAACCAAGGCAGAGTTTGTGGATTCTCTCTTCCCCAATTGCCACTAGGCAAAAGAGCTTTACTAACATCTAAGGGGAAAAGGTCAAATATCATATTGGTTTGAACACAGAAAACACCTATTTTCCAAATCTTGATTGTATAAACCCTGAATGTGGAATGACAAAAATAATAAAAATAGAGAGGTGATGGTAAAAATTAATAAAACATCTTCATTTGAATCAAATGAATTGGCTTAGCTTCATGTCTTTGTTGTGAGGGGCTGTTCTCTTGTTGGGATGGGGGAAGTCATAGTAAAGTACTAGTGATTTTTTTAAGTATAAATAAAAAATTTAAAATGGAAAGAAATGTAAAAATAAAGTTCCTACAAATATGCTTCCATGTCATAATCTTAAAATTATTCTCTGTCAGTACCTACACATTTATTTTTACTTTCAAAGAGATTTCATTTTAGGAGTGCAATTTATATTCAGACCAATAAGGTGAAAGGAAGCAGTGGGTCCAATGGCAAGAACACAGGACTTGGAATTAGAGGATCTGAGCAAGAATCCTGGCTCTTCCACTGACTACCTGAGTGACCTTGGACAAGTCACTTAACTTTTCTCTGCCTCAGTTTCTTCATCTGTAAAATAAAGGAGTTGGACTAGATGGTCTTTCCAATCTCTTCCAGCTCTAAATTTATGATCCTAACATCCTGCAAATGGTCTTTTGGAGAAGGGCCTTGATGAGTCCTAGAGAAGACAGCCTTCTAATCCAGCTCTAATTTATATTTTTATTATTTATTCATTTTTTTTGGTTGGGCAATGGGGGTGGGTTAAATGACTTGCCCAGGGTCACACAGCCAGTAAGTGTTATGTGTCCGAGGCTGGATTTGAACTCAGGTCCATCCTGAATCCAGGGACAGTGCTCTACCCACTGTACCACCTAGCTGCCCCCCAGCTCTAATTTAACTATAGTAACTAGCACATCACTAACAGCTGAATACCACACCACACCCAAATTGAGGATGATTCTTTAAGGGACCCATAGAGCCAAAATCCACTCAGGGAACAAGAGGCCGGAAGAAGTCACAGCCCAGAACGTCTAACCTAGCATTACTTTTATCAACGACATCTTGAATAATGAATGAATCAAAGAACCCCTCATAAGAACAATAACTATGTGAAAGAGAATGATAATAACGAGACAACAAACTGAAATGTGAGGGATAAAGCTAAAGCAGGAAAAAAAATACTCTTGGCAATATGTCTTAACAAAATAAAAAGAGGATTAATAAACTGTACGTGAAAATTTAAAAATGAGAAAATCAACAAATAATTCCCCAAATATCACAAATGAGTAAATCTTGAAAAGCAGAGGAGAAATAGAAACAGTGGAAGACAAAAACATCAAAGGACTGATAAAGTAAAAGGAGGCTTTGAAAAAGTTAGCAGATGAGTGTGGTTGAACAAGCCTGTAAGCTCTGCTACCCGGGAGGCTGAGGCTGGTAACTCCTGTGATCTCTAGACGTCTGGGCTGCATTGGGGTAAAGCTGATCTGGTGTCTGAACTGAGGCTGGCACCCAGGTGGCGCCCCTGTCTAAGGAGGGGTGAACAGGCCCTCGTGAGGCCCACAGGGATCAGGATAAAACTTCCATGTCCATCAGTAGTGGGATCGGGCTGTGAGCCATCACTGTATTTCCAGCTAGGGCAAGAGAAGGAAGACAGAACAGACAGAAAGAAAAAAGAACAAACGACAAAGAAAAAGAAAGAAAAGAAGGAAGAATAAAAGGAAGAATGAAAATAAGGATCTGGTACTAATTCACCATCATTACAGTAACAATAGCTAGCATTTCTTTAGAGTTTGAAGGTTTGCAGTGTGCTTTTGAAAAATTCTTTTTATCCTCACAAGAACTCTAAGGGGTTGGCCCTGTTATTATTCCTATTTTACAGATTAAGAAACTGAGGCAGACAGAGGTTAAATGACTTGACCAGAGTCACATAGCTAGTAAGTGTCTGAGGAAGGACTTGTCTTTTCTCCAGACCTCTATCCGCTGAGCCACCTGGCTGCCTCTTGTGCCATTTCTTATTCACAACGCTAACTCAGAAAGAAACAAACAGCTACCAAATGAGTGTATTCTTTGTCTCTGCCTTTGCATGAAATTAATTTCAGGACCAAATGAATAGAACATCTGGAGCTTCTGCTGCGGCCCTAAAAAAAAAAAAAAAAGATCCCATCTGCTCCTCTATAGGTATGTGGTTCAATTATGTCTGACTCTTCATGACCCCATTTGGGGTTTTCATGGCAAAGATACCGGAGTGGTTTGCTATTTCCTTCTCCAGCCCATTTTACAGATGAGGTAACTGAGGCAAACAGAATTAAGTGACTTGCCCAGGGTCACACAGCTAGTAAGTGTCTATGGTCACATTTGAACTCAGGTCTTCCTGAGTCCAGGGCTGCTGCTCTATGCATTATGGCGCCACCTAGCTGCCATATCCTTCTATAGGTAGAGCTCATGAGTTAATAGATTTAGAACTGGACGGGACCTTAGAAGTCATTCAGTGTAACCTTCTCATTTTAGGGCTTAGAGATTGCCCAATGTCTCATGGGAAAGAAGCGGCAATGTCAGGGTTTGAATCCAGTCCCTCACACCAAATCCAGTGCCCTTTCCATTGAACTCCTGCTGAACTGCAGGGAGCAGTTAGGTAGAGGCAGGCTGAAGTAAGTGCTCCACACTGGACTCCAATCCTGACTTTCGCTTTGCCACTTCTTTCCTGTGGGACATTGGGCAGGTCACTTAAACTCTCCTCTGTAAAATGATGGGGTTGCCTTGAATGCCCTTGCGCACTGAATGCGGTGTAGTGGATAGAACGCTGGACCTGTAGTGAGGAAGTTGTGGGTTCAATGTTCCCCTCAAACACTGGCTGCATGACCTCGGGCACATCTTTTGAGTTCTCTAAGGGTCTTCCTCATCTGTAAAATGGGACCAATAACAGTGCTCACCTCAGATGTCTGTGATTGGCAAGACATGGTCCTCCACCCTGCAGGATGTTATAGTCCAGTTGTGGAGACAAAACATAACCACACGAAGCATAATTTACAATAACAAGGCAGGATATGCTCAGTACCGCAGGAAGGGTATCCATAATAAGTACTTGAGACAGTCTGGTCAGACTGCGTGCCTTCCTTGAAAGGAAGGGGGAAGGGGTTGTCACATGGAAACATCTAATAATTGAGCACCAGAGGAATTCTACTAATCCCTGTTTAAGCCTCAGCTAGTGTAGTTGTGATTGGTACACTCAGAGGGGCTGTGGGGCTACTTTCCCCACTCCAAATTAGTGCGTTTGCCGACAGATAACGGCTTCATTTGTCCTCCTCGGTAAATGAGAGTGCAAACTGCAACGTTTAGGAGCTGCTCAGGTCAGTTTCCACGCTGGCAGAACTGGCCGGTCCTCGGGTTGTGGCATGTGGCATGTCCCATATCAGTACAAAAGGGATGTGGTCTGCTGTCACGGGCTGGCACATGCTGTCCCTGTATCCTTTGTTTGAACATTAATAAATTATAACTCAGAGCATGAGCTGAGCCTCTCTTGTTTAGAACCCAATGACGTGTTACAATGCCGTAGCAATCCAGGCAGGAGAGACCATTGGGGGTGGTTACTAGACTCTCAGCCCTCAAAGGCAGAGGCCATGCCTCATGTCTTCTTCTGTTCCTTACAGGGCCTAGAACAGTGTCCTAGATATAGTAGGTATAACAAACAGCAAGTGTTTGTTGAAGCACTAAATGGTAATTCATATTTACTAATGCCTTAAAATTCATGAATCATTTTTGTCTCAACAAACTCCTAAAGTAAATATTACAAGCATATAAGGTGACAAAATGTGTAGAGTGACAGAAATAGAGTTAGGAAATCTGAATTTAAGTCCAGCCTCAGACATTTACTAGCAGTGTGGGCAAGTCATATATGAGGATTCTCCATTGAAGATAACAGTACCATTAGATTGTAAGCTCCTTGAAAGCAGGGACTTTTTTGGTCTCTTTTTGTATCCCCAGCACTTAACACAGTGTCCAGTATATAGTAGGTGTTTAATTAATTATTTATTAATAAATGAATAAATAAAATAGTTGTTTAACATTAATAAATGTTTATTGATTGCTTGATTTTCCTCCCACAGGGTTCTTGTGAGGATCAAGTGAAATATCCGCAAAGTATTTTGCAAACTTTAAAGTGCTATGTTAATGGTAGTTGTTATTATTGTATTAATAGTAATAATAACTATAAAATGTTACCATTTTATAGATGAAGAAACCGAGGCTCAGAGAGGTTAAGTGATTTGGCTAGGATCACACAGCTTGTAAGCATCCTAGTAGTTAGGATTTGAATCCCTATCTCTCCTTATTCTAGGTCAATTAATCTTTTTACTACACTGTGGGAAGGAAAGAAGAAAGGAAGGAAAGAAAGGAGGAGGGAAGGAAGGAAAAAAGAAAAGGAAGGAAAAGGGAGGAAGGAGGGAAGGAGGAAGGGAAGGAAAGAATGATCAGAGAAGTCTTCTCAGAGGTAAGATCTTGCATCTTGCAGAGGAAGGGAAGAGCATTCTAGGTGAAAGGAACAATATGAACAAAAGTTGAGCATAGTCGTCCTAAGGATTCCTCACAAAGGCCAGGTTGGATATTTTCAGTGATGCTCAGGGGTCCCAGGTGACGAGGGACCAGCTGGAGCCATTGGGCTGCGAGCTGGGCTCAGAGGAATACCAAGGGACGGCGTGCTGGAGGCAGGTCGCCCTCTGCTGGCGGCTCTCTCCTCCCCGCTGCAGCCTAACTTGATTTTTTGCAGCTGGTCACTCTCCCACTCACCCCCACCGCTGCCTAACCCTGCAGAATCCTTGCTGCTGGGGAGCTAGCTAGAGAACTCTGTGGTCACACGGGCTCATCGAGTTCTAAAACTAGGAAGGACTCAGAGATCATCTTGCCCTACCTCCCTTCATTTTTACAGATGAGGAAACTGAGGCTGAGAGAGGTTTTAGTGATTTGCCCCAAGTCACAAGCTAGTAAGCGATAGAGCTGGGATTCCAGCCCAGTTTGTCTCCAGTGAGCTTTCTCATACAATACTCTTTCAGCTCATCCTGGAACATCTGGGGAGCCAATGCTAGGAGGAGACAGGATCTGTGAGCCTGATGGGAGACAGAAGAGGAGGGACTGAGCAAGAGTGAGGAATTGGACCTTGGCCGCAGGCAGAGATGGAGGCC